AGATAAGGTGGTCAGGCCCTCCCATTTCTTTAAGGACTTGCCATAGTTTGCTGTGGTCCACACAGTCAAAGGCTTTTGCATAGTCAATGAAACAGAAGTAGTTTTTTTTTCTGGAACTCTCTGGCTTTCTCCATAATCCAGCACATGTTAGCAATTTAGTCTCGAGTTCCTCTGCCTCCTTCACCTGGAGTAGGAACTGGCAATGCCACTCCAGTATCTTTGCCAAGAAAATCCCATGAACAGAAACAAAAGACTCTGGAGAATGGGGTTCAAATCCCTACTTAGCCATGAGAAATTACGGGGGGAGTGGAACTGGTAACCCACTAAAACCAATCAGATTTAAGTTAGTCATGATTAACTCAGATCTAGAGATGGGCACAAACTGCTGGCTCAGCCAACAGCACAACAGGTGTTCCACAGTGTGGTACCCCACCCCCTCCAGCAGGCACCCACTCAGAAGCAGCACCCCGGCTTCCCTGCTCCGTCTCCTCCAGGTGCTGCCTCTGAGTGGGTGCCTGCAGGAGGGGGCGGGATGCCAAACTGTGGAACACATATGTTGGGCTTTTGGCCAAACTGGGGGTTCATGCCCATCTTTACTAAAGTTCCATTAATACCTGCAGATCTGTGCTGGGTGGATGATGAATATAGCAAGCAGACAGCAAAAGCATTGCAACATCCAGAATTGTTCAGGTAATTTACTCTTTTAGCATTATTATTAAATAGCATTATTGTTAAACTAATGCTATATACTCCCGTATCTCTCAGATTCCAGAAAAGGTCTTTTATGTAATCCTGCTCCTGACAGAATGAAATAGTAAAGAGCCCAGAACTTTGAAACAGTCATTCAGGACAATTAGTTCAGCATTAGTTCTGCCACTAATCTCTGAGATGAGAGAGCCCCAATAAAACCAGCTATTGTGCTTAGCTCTTGTAGTTATATCAGTCACAAAACTATAAACCCCTCTCTTCCACCCTCATCTCCTTTCACTTTTCCTTTTATGCAGGACTTGAGGAGATATAGCAGTCCCATATTCCCACAAGGAGAAATGATAAATTTGCACATACACTGCGTTCCTCTGAACTTGAATTCCTAACAAACTTATTCCTAAATGTCTTGGAATCAGCTCAGTTTGGTTGACATAACTAGCTATTTTGGCACCCAGGGCTTTGCTGCCCTATCAGATAAGCTGGGGTAACATGAGGTTGACGTGGGTGGGGAGAGGATGGAGTAATGGTGCAAACTGAGTGCACAACAACTACCTTGCTTCCACCGCGAGCCACCTGTTTTGTGGTTCCTTCTGCCTGGAAGAGAATGGCTGGAGATGGTATACGTAGCAAATGTCAATGGGCAGGAGCACATCTTTCCAGTGGTGAATTGTTGTGCCCTCCAAATGTTGGTACCTGGGGTTAAAGGCCTAATCTCTTCACCCTACTTACAGCCCTGGTTTAGGAGTCAGGATTCAGAAAAATCCAATAATACCCATAATAAAAATGGAGTATGTACAATCTGTTACAGCCCTGGTTTAGGGGTCAGGATTCAGAAAAATCCCATAATAAAAATGGAGTATGTACAATCTTACTTTGCAGCTTATTACACTGAAGAAGCAATGCAACAAGTCAGAAACAAGAATCCAAATAGTGACATGGTGAGGGCCTATCATTCATTCCCTTGCGTGAGCTCTGACATCCAACCCATGATGAAGTGAAGGAGTCGCAGATCATTCCTTTTCAAAATGCCTTTGTAATCCATTGTGATTCGTGATTGTTATCAAATACAGTGATGCCTCGCAAGACGAATACCCCGCACAACGAAAAACCCGCAAGATGAAAGCATTTTGCAATATTTTTTGGTGTCTCGAAAGACAAATTTTTCTATGGCCGTGCTTTGCAAGACAAATAGGAATGCATTAACTTAATTTCAGTGCATTCTTATGGGAAACCGCGCTTTGCAAGACGAAATTTTTGCAATACAAAACAACTCACTGAACAAATTATTTTCATCTTGCGAGCCATCACTGTATTATGAGCTTCTTCATTGCACTGCTTCACCAGGAACAATGCTCTCACTTTGTATAGGCAACAGTTGTCTTTGAGGTGGACCACATGGCTCAACGTTGGTTTGTTCAATCAGTGCTGCAATTGAATTGTCTGTTCCTAGCTATTAGGGCTAATGGCTTTCAGCTGACTTCTGAAACAATGCCTTTCATGCACCAGTATTGGCTGTACGACTGTGCCTCTCTATTTTTTGGCAAAACCTTAATTACCCTTCAAGTAGACTCATGCTGAGAGTCACAATTAGCAGACATGTTTCTGCCACTCCCTTCTCAGTGGCCCACCTTGGAGTATCAAGGACTCAACAACAAAAAAATTAATCTGAGGTGTGAGATGAAACAAAATGAAGGCAATACTCCAAACCAATAGTAAATTAAGGAGGAAAGGGATATGATCATCATGAGAGACAGGCCTCTGCTAATGGCATTTGGATCTTTTACACATGTAAAAGCTGTCAACTTGGCTACATTCTCCTAATGTTCCCTAGGCAAGCAACAATGTTCATTTCTTTTCCGCTGCTCTTTCCTTTTATGATTCAGCAGCATTTTAGAGTGAGAATTTTGAAATTAAATCTCCTTATTGTGCAGGCAGGATGTCCAGTTTTATTCTATCAAATGCCACCGAAACAAAGGGAACAATCCATTTTTCCTGATAGAAGCCAACAGATCGTAAGAGGTTTGAGATGAGTGTGAGGATACAATTTGCCTAGAGAGTGCCTGAGGATCAAGACAAGCTGACTTTCCACGGAATGAGTCTGTCAGCTGGCATCTTGCGGTAATTGCTTCCCATGGCAGGGCCTCACCAGCTGAGGGAGGGCTGATCGCGTCAACTCAAGAATCCATTTTATTATTACTATTTTTTTTAACAGCCACTGAACGATAATTGTTTGCTAAGGCTGAGGGAACTTGTTGCCAATTCATGGGGAAAAAAATATGGGGCCGGAGCTGTGATTGGCACTCATTAACCCGGGATTTGGGCTTGATTGTTCCTTTATTCAAAGTGAAGGTATTTGTGGAGGAAGGGGAGAAGGAAAACTGTTTTTATGTGTGGAGAAAACAAACAAGATCAACCACAGAATTGGGGGGGGGGACAGAATGCCATGCCCCAAAGCAAGTAATTCATCTGATTTATTCAAAGGGGACAAAATAATATATGTAGTCAGGTCATTTGAATGTCTTCCCTGAAGTGTAAGGGTCTCTTTAGAATTCTTTCCCTCCGACTATGCCACACTTTGCTTCTTCTGTTCATTAGGAAACCAGGCGTTCTCCATGGCAATGCTGCCCAAATCAGGCACAGAAGAAAAGATCAGATGTGCATAAGAGGACTGACAGAATTCAGCTGTTGTGGCCAGTAGACATTTCTAGGTTCTACAATTGCGTATAAACGCAAACTCTGCTCTTTGCTTATATTTATTTTCTTAATCTGGACTACATGATATTCGGGAGCCATCCAGGAAGATGGCTTTCAATATCTGAATTATTTTGAATAACATTTATTGTAGTCAATAGTATATATGTTTTGAATGGCAACAATTTATGCCTTGTTTTTCCTTAATCCAAGCAGGAGGAATTGTGTATGGTTTGTACTCATGATTAATGCCAGTCCATCATAATGATAGCTAAAATATTGACAACAGTTTTTTCTGACCATTTTACTGTCCACCCAGCATCTTATTCAATATACTGTAGATCTAAAATTATCAAAAGAATAACTGGAACTGGGGCACCTTTTAAAGAGATTATTCTTCCATCTTATTCTTGATCTGATTTGATGGCTCTGATTTATAGTCTTGCCTCCCTACGGAGCCCAGAGTGGCACATAATCTGCATTAAAAAAATACAGCTAAACTCAGACATTATAAATACATATTCAAAAGCATGATTACAGACATCTAAAATAACGAATTACAAGGTAAAATGCAGTAAAAGCAATGTAAACAAACATCCACCTTCTTGGATGCACTCATTAAAGGGGTTTGAGTGTGTCAGAGAAGCCAAGAGCGAAGCTGTCAGGAGGCTAGACTCCATCATGAGCCTGAACTCCTACCAGGGTTACTCAGGGTTGAATGTTCATAGCTAAGGCACCAGACTAAGATGCATCCACCTTTTTCATGAGTAACAATCACATCAGCGGAAGAGAATGTTTAGTTCCAATAGTAATGAGGGTGCAGAAACCTCTGGGAGGGCAACAACTGAGCAGAACCAGAAGTCAACACTAGTAGAGGATCTTTCACACACAACAGCAGTGATATTCAAACTAATTCTGTTGTTAGAATTCTTGTATTGCACACAAGAAGGCAATAGTGAACCTGAGTTTTTCGTACCCTGGAAAACATATGATGAGACAACCCGAAATGAAAACAGAGATAGTGCTGAAAGATGAGACTCCCCGGTTGGAAAGCACTAGAGAAGGGAAGTGACAAGTACTGTACAAATAACACTGTCACTAATGACACAACGAGATTGAAGCCAAAAAGATGGCTACTGGCTGACGTGCTCAGAAGTGAAAGGCAAGTCCAGTGCTGCACAACACATACAGTTGGAACATGGAATGGGAGAAGTATGAATCAAGGAAACCATAAAGCAAGAAATGGAATGGTTGTTGTGGGTTTTTAAAGATCCCGGCCGTGAAAGCCTTTGCGAATACAAGAAATGGAATATATAAACATTGCAGTGCTTTGTGTCCACAAACTAAAGAGGACTGGAATGGGACATTTTCAATCGGACTGTAGCTGATTGAGTGCTTTCCAACCTGGGAATCTCATCTTCCAGCACTATCTCTTGTTTCATTTTGGACTGTGTCATTATATGTTTTTCAGAGTAAGAAAAGTTTATCAATTGTTTACTATTGCCTTCTTGTGCACAATACTGTGTATCCCTGAAAATATATGAGATGGAATCGTAGATGGGATCATTAAGGTTATAAAGGCATAAAGGACAATTTTCACGTCCTAATATCAACAATATTTGTTCCTTATCTCTTTTCCTTGTCTGTAATTATTTTAACATGAAAGGAAAATAAAGCTCATTTCCATCTCAGAAGCAGTATAATGGCTTGCTCAAAAAGGGCTGAATTATGTCACGCCTGTCAAATTGCCTAATACTATTTGGTATCCAACACAGAGTTTCGTGTTCCTATGTGTCTACAGTCTTGCTCTAACGTGACATCCATGTTGTATATTAGCACTGTGCTGAAAATGTCTTCAGCATTTTCTTTTACCATCTTTTTTTAGCTGAATAGAATTGAAATTTCTTTGAAACAATTATCAAAGAGAATAAAATTCTAGTGCAACTCTAGTGTGTGAAATGTACAGTTTTTGTGTTTGCTATAATTATGTGGTGGCCAAGAGATGTGAGTGTTAAGAGTACCCTCCAGTCTTCAACTGTGCAGGCACCTCTGATAGCCTCCCTTACTTCCTGCACTTCAATGAAAGCCAAAGGAAAGACATCCTGAGGTAACTCTTCCCAGAGGACTTTTTCAGATGAGGAAGCTCAGCCAGCTTCAGGAGAAGCTACAGTGGTAAACAGATGTATAATAGGAGGGAAAAGGCAAAACATATCCTGTTTCCCCCAAAATAAGAGAGGGTCTTATTTTTGCTCCAAAAAACATGTATTAGGGCTTATTTTCAGGGGACGTTTCTTGCTCCCAAAAAAATGTATTAGGGCTTATTTTCAGGGGATGTTTTATTTTTTTCATGTACAACAATCTACGTTTATTCAAATTCATGTCATCTGGTTGCTGCAGAACGTGGAGGGCAGGGTAGGGCTTATATTACGAGCATCCTGATCTATGTTTATTCAAATTCATGTCATCTTCTGGTTGCTGCAGAACGGTGGAGGGCGGGGTAGGGGTTATATTACGAGCATCCTGCAAAATCATACTAGGTCTTATTTTCAGGTTAGGTCTTATTTTAGGGGAAACAGGGTAGTTCTTCCACCTGCCTTGAACTGTGAGGAAAGCAAAACAAATTCTAAAGCAGTTCTTAAGTGCTCTGGGAGGCAAGAAAAATAGTAGATACCTGTTTTCTGGGGGAAGAAATTTTTCAGAAAATTGGAGAATTATTATGCATCTCTCCCTGCAAAGCTACTTCTGGATTCCTGGCTTAGATTTAGGAGGCCTATTTGGAAAGGGAAGCTCTAAGACAGATAGCTTTTTTCTTACATTCTGAAATCTCTGATTTAGAACCATGATGCCCTGAGCACTCCTGAAATGTACTTCTGTTTTGCTGAACATCTCATATCTACTTTCCTTATAGCTTCCATTAAATACATTTCTTGTTTTGCTTAAATATTACAAAAGTCTGCCTAGGGTAATTCTTATACACTATTGACTAAAGAAAAGACCATAGCCCTCCACTTGCTATGAAGCTACTGAATTATAGTTTTTCTCTGACTGAAATTTGTTCAATAAATGAGGAAAGATGGACCTTCTTAAGCCTCAGTTTTGCAATAATTCTGTAATAAATGCTTACATTGGCTTTTCATTGTTATAATTCCACAATGAGAGTACAATTTATCCAATATGTGGACCATAAATTATGTTAATTTTTAATTGAACTGGCAGCTCAAAATCAAGCTGAATGTAAATAACAGGAATTAGGATATGGACGGGACAATCATACCAGCATCAAAATGAAGCAGTATTCTGTGCATGCTTTTCTACTTCAACTGATAACACAATGTTATTATTTTCTGTATTCCTGTTCATAATATAACTATTCAGTCTTGTTCCCAAATGATCTACTTTAAAAAAATGTTGCAGAATGGATGCATTTTGTTTTTTAAAAAAAATGTTGCAGAATGGATGCATTTTGCCGTCCAGAGTAGATTATCTGTCTAGATGGGTGGGGTATAAAGCTAATAAAATACTGTAAATAAATAAATAAATGAATAATATGCATATATATTTTTGTTTTGACTTTTTGGGAAGAGAGACCCAAAGAGTTGAAACCTACTTTCTGGTTATTCTTCAGTATTGTCAACAAAATCAGTTAACATGGGCATGTCTAGAATGTTTACCCACATAGGGTAAAATCCAACTCTCGACAAGTGATCACCCAGTCACAGCACTTTTCTCTCTTCATCTCTTTCATGCAGCCTCCCCTGATCATTGCACCTGCCAAGTATATGCTAGAAATTTCTCCCAAACACCAGGAAGCATGGTGCAGGAAGCTTATGGGGGAAGAGGTAATTGGCCACCTCCTTGTTGTGCTGATGGAAGTTGTTCTGCTGCCTGGGTGTGTGTGTCTATGTTTGGCTGTGCACATACAGATGTAACTGGATTCAAACCAGTGTTTAACTTGTGGTCCAGTGGCTTCTTGAAGCATTCAGTTCTCATTTCAACCTGTACATTTGGCTGAAGTACCATATAGGCATGGGATTTCCATTTGTTTTGGACAGCAGCTAGCAGAATTCACCAAGTATTCCACTGGGCATAATCTGGAAGAAACTGAAATACAGTAGTATTTCACCTCCACATGGCTCTCCATTGCCATTATACAGTGATGCCTCGCAAGACGAATGGTGAAATACAGCAGTATTTCACCTCTACATGGCTCTCCATTGCCATTATATGATGATGCCTCGCAAGACGAATGCCTTGTGCAACAAAAAACTTGCAAGATGAAAGTGTTCTGCAATTTTTTTGGTGACTCGCAAAACAAATTATTCTATGGCCGTTCTTCACAAGACGAATAGGAATGCATTACAGTGGAGTCTCGAGTTACGGTTGGCTCCACTTACATACTTTTCGACCTACGGACTTCTCCAGCCACAAAATTTAACTTTGACTTGGAGCCAGAGAATCGACCTATGGACCGGAAGGGGGAGGCAGAGAAAGTGCCAAATTTGAATTTGCCACTTTTCCCGCCTCCCCCTTCCAGTCCGTAGGCCATAGGTCATGCCTCCGGATGCCTTGCAGGGCTTCTCCGCCGCCATGGGAGGCATCTCGAAGCCACACAAAACAAAACCCCCCACATTTTTTAAAAAAAGCAGCCTCTAGCACAGAAAGGGCCACTTTCACCTTCTCCCGCCTTACAAGAGGTCTCTGTGTTTTAAGAGCTGAGCGACAGGCAGAAATTCAACCGGCATTGGTCCCCCAAAAC